TCTTGCCCGCGGCAGACTTGGGGATCGGCACGAGTTGGGGTGGTGCGTTCGCCGCTTCTGTGGAGTGTTCTCCATCTCGGCCCCTCCACTCTGGCCGTTGGGCTCTGCGCCTTCGGGGCATGCCAACGCCCCGGAATTTCGTTTCGCGTACCGCGCCGCAAGTATAGAGACAACGCGTGTCTCTCCGTCCGCACCTCACCGGAGGTGCCGCCGACCGCCGCGAACAGCGAATCTACCGCCGCCGGCTGCACGTTGGCCAGGCTCGCCCGGCCGACTCCACCGTTCCTGTAAGGAGACACGATACCGCGTGCCCTCCGCTCCGGGAGTCGACCGACGCGGGCACTCCGCGTACAGCAACCACCGCGAACCACGTACCGTGAACCGCGAACCGCGTACCGCGACGCCGAGTCAAGCAGGTACATTCCGCCGTTGCACTCCGATGCGAGACCGTCGAATTTAAACATCGCGAACCGTCAACACAAAGCCGCGAAACATCAATACCGCGCCCGCTCACCGCTGGCACCGCGAGCTCCACGGGCCGAGCGTCACGGCCGTTCCCGCTAAGTTCCGGGAAACGAAAACAACGGGCCAACGTCACCACGTCAACACGGGATTCCGTCGCCAATATTGTCATCCGAATATTACTGGTGTGAAACACCGAGATTAAAGCACGGCCCGTCAGAACATCATGTAACCAGCCGCGGAAGATAATTTAATAAACATTATTCTGCCAGATAGTCGCTCACTCACTCGCTCACTCGCTCCTGTACCGACACTCGCACATCTAAGAACGCCTGGAAATCCGGCGAGCTACGCCAGGGCAAACACCGCTACCGAACACGGTCATCCGGAGAACCGAAACGACCACCCCGTCGGCCGGGACGGGACGAGCGTCCACCGATCGACGGAGGCCGGGTCACAAGTGTCACGATCGCCGAATTTTCTCTTCCCCGATCCTCTTTCCGGCGTCGTCGTCGTCGCAATCCTCGTCGTCTATTCCACTTCGGTTACCCTCCGATCGTTCGCCTCTCTTCCATCTTGGTTTTCTGCCAATAATTTCGACTTTCACAGCGCTGCAACTCGCTACCGTTCGTCCGTCACCCGATGATATTTCTCGAGAAGTACGTGACACGAAGGTCTTTCCCGCTGACATAAATCGATGCCTTTGCCGATATGTGAGGCAAATATTTCCAACATAGTATTTACTATGTTCATCTAATTAGAAAGCGCCGCTTCAACGTGCGCAAATTACGATATTAGCGGTTCGCGAAGTTTTCCCCGATTAATTTTTCAACGCTAAAACTAATTTCGGTTGAAAATTGACAATATCAAAGTAACGTCGTCTCGAGCAAGTCTAAATCCTCTTCAAGAATCGAAGAATCACGCGTGTAAAAGAAGAAAAAGAAAAATAGAGACAAGACATTAGATGAGATATAAATAGCTTACGATGTGTATTTTTTCTGGCGAGAAACAGAGTAAAATCAAATTGTTCCTGCGGAAAGTACAGTTCCAAAATAAAATTTCGCAATCATCGAAAATGTAAGCAATGTTGCTCTCTTTTAATAATACAAAGTGGTTCGTAAGTACGTGCGTTTCTTTAAAATAAACAAACGACTGACTAAGCGCACACGTACCCACGTGCGCTGCGCAGCGATCTCGGTCGAGCCTTTGTTGCGTCACGCTCGCCGATTAATGACCTATTCAATTTTTATTCTCCGACGCAGTCTAGCCTCGTTCATACGGCGCGAAACGCAAAACATTCGATAATAAGTGGAACGATCGACCGATCAATCACGCGCGGTTCACTTTTGTTTGTTCTATCGTCGATTCCAGCACTCCCCCTAATCCCTTGAATGAAAAATAGAGAAATATATGATCCACTCTCATCGCCGACGAGATCCTTGTGAAGGGGATTCTTGGCGGCAAAAGAACCGGAGGAGATCCTTGTGATTTTTTTTTCGCTGAATACTTAGGAAAGGGAAGGAAGGAAGGAGGATGCGGCGGTTAACTTTGACTGTGATATACACGATTGGTGAAATTAAAGCATATAAACGAAGTTAAAGCGTGAACTGCATACACAATGAAAGATTAGCATAAATTGAAAATATTTTGAAAATATTTTGAATTTCCTATGTAGATAGCGAGGTATATAAATCTTTAGACGTTCGTGCAAAAGTACGTTAGTCAGTCGTTTGATCTAACGAGAAAATGTTGAAAGAGCGGAAGAGATCTTCGCAATCGCCCTCTTCTCTATGTGCTCTTTTGCGAAAAACGGAAAAGATATTTGCTCAATGGTACAACGAAAAAATGTTGAGCATGCAAACGAAGTCTAGAGAGTTTTTCACGAAAGCAAATAATTTTGCAATTCAAACGAAAGAAATGATAAATCGCGACTTGATCATTTCTGTGGATAATTTTCGGCTTTCAGTGATCTTTGCGAGATGAATTTAGATCTGGATACGTTGAGAAAAAAATCAAGAGTGATTTCTATACAACGCGTAAATTATAATATTTCATTGTTGAGAAAAAGATTAATTGAAAATGAAATAATTGTGCGTGTATGAAAGAAACGCAAACGCTGATCAGTTATAACAAGTCGTACATTTTTCCAGATTAATATCGCCGAAGAGGAATGAGAAACGTCCAACGGTGTCGTGATATCATCGCAAATTCTGTATAAAGAGGATCAACCGCCACCGTCACAACCGCCGTCTCAATCTCCGTTGTCTAAACAGTCGCCGCCTCAATCGTCGACTCAACTGCCATCGCAACATCAACAGCAGCAGCAACTTTTTTAGCAACCGCCATCGTCGCAACAATTACTACTCTCCCAACAGCTACAATTGCCGTATGAATTTATCGTCGCAGCAATAACAATCAAGGCAGCACCACTCGCCACAGCATGAATTGTCGTCGCAGCAACAACCGCCGCAGCATACACCACCGCAGCATGAACCGTCGCCACAACAATATCGTTCTTCTTTATCGCAATATCATCCGTACAGATATTCCGAAACAGAGTCATTGAATAGTTCCGTATTGTTACAGATCGCGTCTTCGAAAGATAACAGTAATGGGGTTTATAACATACCATTGAAAAACTATGCGCCGTGCGAGCAACAAAATGGTAAAATGCATTTCGAAAGCATATGCAGTGAAAGTATTCACGTTTTAATAAACTTGCCTTTAAAACAGCAGTTACCTTTGGTTACTGAATTCAACGACGACACCGACGACGTTTCATCTTCGACCGTGCGCGTTCTTCACGACTCTACGTTGTTTTCGTCGTCGAGTGAATCGCA